CCCATATAACAAACTTCCACGTGTACCCCTGAACTTAAAAGTTAAATTTTAAAAAAGTTCAATCTGGATTATAGTTCATGATAATATGTATGTACATTTGACTTCTAGAAGTGCTGAATTGATATATCACTAAGAAATACATGATGATGAGACTGGAAATTCAATATATGAGAAAATATAGTGGTCATTTGTATACTCACAGTATCCTTACATCCAAGGCAGACATTTTAATTATTGACACTTCGATCCATTCATGGGTCCGCATAAGTAACCAAAATTAGTCCATGGCATTACATATTTTGGCCTTATGGCAAGTAATACCATTTATAAATGATACAACCTCGCCAGTATCTGTTATTTTAAAATTTTAATAGTAGCCATTCTGACTCGTATGAGATGGTATAACATTGTGGTTTTGAAGGACTCTTTTTTTAAAAAAAAAAAAATGATCCTTCTGGTTTTTTTTTTTTTTTTTTTTTTTTTTTTGAGACAGAGTCTCATTCTGTCCTCCAGGCTGAAGGAGTGCAGTGGCACAATCTCGGCTCACTATGTCCTCTGTAATTCTCCTGCCTCAGCCTCCCAAATAGTTGGGATTACAGACGCCTGCCACCATGCCTGGCTAATTTTTTTTATTTTTTATATTTTGTAGAGCTAGAGTTTCACCATATTGGCCAGGCTGGTCTCGAACTCCTGACCTCAAGTCACCCGCCTGCCTCAGCCTCTCAAAGTGCTGGGATTACAGGTGTAAGCCACTATTTTTAAATTATGGTTAAGAGGTTTAAAAATATTCCTAGACATAATAGAAGACATTTCTAACAAATAAGAGCACTCGTGTTGAAAGCTGTAAAACTTTATTAATGACTGAATCACCTGTTAGTGTTACGTGAACCCGGGAGGCGGAGCTTGCACTGAGCCAAGATCGTGCTACTGCACTCCAGCCTGGGCGACAGAGCGAGACTCTGTCTCAAAAAAAAAATAAAAAGAAAAATAAAGTTTATTCTGCTAGTTTGTTTCCGGATAGATGTTAAAAATATTGGCTAGGCACAGTGGCTCATGCCTGTAACCCCAGCACTTTGGGACACCAATGTGGGTGGACCACTTGAGCCCAGGAGATTGAGACCAGTTTGGGCAACATGGTGAAACACCATCTCTACAAAAAATACAAAAAAAAAAGTAGCCAGGCCTGGTGGTGTGCACCTGTGGTCCCAGCTACTTGGGAGGCTGAGGAGGGAGGATCACTTGAACCTGGGAAGTCAGGGCTGCAGTGAGCTGAGATCCTGCCATTGTACTCCAACCTAGGTGTCTTGTCAAAGCAAGACACTGTCTTTAAAAAAAAAAAAGTAACTGTTAAAATGTTAAAACTATATAGCTAGTAAAATGTTCAAATGTTAACCTAAAGTTGTGTCGAGGACTAGCAGTGGTATATGGGATGTGCTTGGGAAATACTGCTCTAACCTATAACATCAGGACCATGAGTCACCTAAATAAACCCACTATCTTCACGTCATCTCACCACTCACATTGAAGATATAAACTGGGCTGGGCACGGTGGCTCACTCCTGTAATCTCAGCACTTTGGGAGGCCAAGGTGGGTGGATCACGAAGTCAGGAGTTCGAGACCAGCCTGACCAACATGGTGAAACCTGTCTCTACTAAAAATACAAAAATTAGCCAGGCGCGGTGGCATGCGCCTGTAATCCCAGTTACTCAGGAGGCTGAGACAGGAGAATTGCTTGATCCCTGGAGGTGGAGATTGCAGTAAGCCAAGATCATGCCGTTGCACTCCAGCCTGGGCAACAGAGCAAGACTCCATCTCAAAAAAAAAAAAAAAAAAAAGATATAAACTGTTGGCCGGGCCAGGTGGCTCATGCCTGTAATCCCAGCATTTTGGGAGGGTGGGACAGGTGATCACTTGAGCCCAAGAGTTCAAGACCAGCCTGGGCAACATGGTGAAACCCCATCTCTACAAAAATTAGCCAAGCGTGATGGTACATACACGTAGTCCCAGCTCCTCGGGAGGCTTAGGCAGGAGGATCACTTGAGTCCAGGAGGTTGAGGCTGCAGTGAGCTGTAATTGCACTACTGCACTCCAACTTGAGTGGCAGAGTGAGACCCTGTCTCAATAAAAAAAATAAAGACATAAACTGTCATGAAGAATCTATCAGTATTCTTAATTCTTGCTTCTGAATCTAACTTTTTAAAAAATTACCAATAGTTGGAATGATTAATAAATGAAAGAGGCAAAGAAAAATTGGAATGAAACCCTCTTCCACTCTCTCCTCCATGTTTATCTAACTGTGGAGCAATCAGGAAGGATTCTGTAAGGTTGTTTTTTGTTTTGTTTTTTTTTTTTGAGACAGACTCTCGCTCTGTTGCCCAGACTGGAGTGCAGTGGGGCGATTTCGGCTCACTGCAAGCTCCGCCTTACGGGTTCACGCCATTCTCCTGCCTCAGCCTCCCGAGTAGCTGGGACTACAGGCGCCAGCCACCATGCCTGGCTAATTGTTTGTATTTTTAGTAGAGATGGGGTTTCACCGTGTTAGCCAGGATGGTCTCGATCTCCTGACCTCGTGATCCATCCACCTCGGCCTTCCAAAGTGCTGGAATTATAGGCATGAGCCACTGCGCCTGGCTGAGGTTTTAAGATATCAAATGTAGCATGCCTGGCATAGGGCCTGGTGCATAATAGATATTCAAAATATTACAGGTACTTTTATTTTTATTTTTATTTTAGAGTCAGGGTCTCTCTCTGCCACCCAGGTTGAAGTCCAGTGACCTGATGATCACAGTTCACTGTAATCTCAGACTCCTGGGCTCAAGCAATCCTCCCACCTCAGCCTCTTGAGTAGCTAAGACTACAGGCATGTTCCACCACACCCAGTTAATTTTTATTTTATTTTATTTTTTTGTAGAGACAAGATCTTGCTATGTTATCCCAAGGTGGTCTTGAACTCCTGGCCTCAAGCAATCCTCCTGCCTTGGCCTCCCAAAGTGCTGGAATTACAGGTAGTTTTAATCCTTTTTTTTGTTTGTTTTGTTATGCTTGTTGAGCTAAGAATATCCCCCCATATACTTTGTGTGCTGCTGTAGAAACTAAGTTACATTATAAAATATTTTCCAAATTGCCTATTAAATATGAACAACATTTTCTTTGAAAATTCCAAAGGCATCAACACATCTAGGGAGGATAAAGAATGGAAAAATTTAAATATTTCTAAAATATAGTACTTTTGTCACAGTGAGAATAGTTTAATAATGTGTTCAAAATGTTGGATATTTTGAGATCTTCAGATGAAAGGCACTGCGGAAATAAGGTGTCATTACAGTTCATTTGAGTACGCCTTACCAAACAAATTTTTTAAAATTATGGAATCAAAATATGTAGCTCACCCTTCCTATCATATTATCCCTTAAAACATGCAGAAAATCTCTAAATTATTAGTGAACTTGAATAACAATATATAAAATTATGATTCCAAAAATGAAAACACAGTATTGTATCCCTTAAATAGTGAACTGATAATTAAATAATATGTATGCATTTATTTATTTATTTTTGAGACAGAGTCTTGCTCTGTCTCCCAGGCTGGAGTGCAGTGGCACAGTCTTGGCTCACTGCAACCTCCATCCCCTGGGTTCAAGCAATTTTCGTGCCTTAGCCTCCCAAGTAGCTGAGATTGCAGGCATGTGCCACCATGCCCAGCTAATTTTTAAAAATATATTTAGTAGAGACGGGGTTTCGCCATGTTGGCCAGGCTGGTCTCAAACTCCTGACCTCAAGTGATCCGCCTGCCTCGACCTCCCAAAGTGCTGGGATTATAGACGTGAGCCACCACGCCTGGCCTAAATAATATTTTATAGAGAGGAAAAGGTGAAAGCTGTTCGGACAAATTAATTTTTAAAGAAAAGACTTCTCAACATAGAATATGTAAAGCTAAGATGATATCTCATCTTAAATATTGTCATCACTTTCATTGCTTTCCTCTCCAAGAAAAAAGAGTCAGATGTTTATTTGTGCTGAGAATTTAGGAATGAATTTTAATACCATGTGGTTTAGTTTGATGATTTTTTTTGGAGAGACAGACTACCTGGAATGATGTGATTTTTCTCAATTCATTCCTGTTTTTCCTTCCATGTTCATCTATTTTCATTTATCACAAGTATTATGGGATAAACCCACATCAAAAGACCTTGACCATAAAATGTTAAGAATACAAGAAAACCAATGAAAAACCTTAACACCATTCAAAGACTTCTGTCTCTTACAGGCACTGATGACATGTAGTAACACAAAAGAATGTGGTCACCCTTCTGGAATAGTGAGTGAGTCAAGTAAACTTGTATTCGATTCAGGTCATGTGTTGTTTGGCTGGGCTATTCAACACTACTGTAAACTCAGAAATGGATGCACCAAACACATTTATTTTCTTTTAGGTTGTTTACAAAATCTTTCTAAGTAATTTTGAAACTTAAAATGTATATTTCTTATTATAAAAGCAACATGTGTTCACTGCACAAAAGCTAGACAACAGGAGAAAAAACGTATTTTGTATTCTGTTTAACATTTTTGTTTAAATCCTAATCTGTCCAAAAACATTCTCATCTTTTCCTTTCTATAAACATTAACTCTTATGAATAAACACAATATTTTTTATTATTGGGATCATCATTTTGCATACGCTATTTAAAATTTGCTGACATAGGAAACAAGAAACAAATAAGAACATACAAATAAACAAAACCCCACCAGTAACCCTGTCATTAGGTATAATCACTATTAACTTGTTGGATGTCTATTTTTCCAGAATTTTCTCAATTTGCAAATCATTGTCAGAAGCAATAGTTCTTAAATTGATTTATTTGTAATCCAAAAATGCATTGGCTCTGTGCATTCTGAAGGTATACGTTGTTCCATCTTCTACTCTACATGCTGCTAAGAACTATTGGAAAGTCACTTTTAATAAGTTCATAGTTGGCAGTGGGCAGGGGCTTGCTGAGGACCCCCAGCTGGGCACCTGCTGCGGGTTCATCTACGCGTTCCCTCAGCTGCCTCCTTTCAACCTTGTCCACCCATTGCCGTCTCTGGTGCCGTAGTGGTGGTTCCTGTTCCTGCCGCAGCTCTCTCCCCTTCTTCCCTCTCCACCAGATCGCAGAGGTCACTCACCATGTTTTTACCCAGTGCAGCTGCCAGGCTCTTGGGAAGCAACAGTGCATCTTGTCTTGTTCTGCTGCCTGGCATGCCAGTGCTTCCTCCAAGAATTTGAAAGACTTATTGGCTGACCTGATAGTTAAGGAGCAGGCCAGAATTAAGACCTTCAGGCAGCGACATGGCAAGAAGGTGGTGGGCCAAATCACTGCAGAAGCAATGTATGGCGACATGAGAGGCATTAAGGGACTGGTGTATAAAACATCCGTTCTTGATCCTCATGAGGGTTTCTGTTTCCAAGGCTTTAGTATCCCTGAATACCAAAAACTGCTACCCAAGGCTAAGGGTGGGGAAGGACCCCTACCCAGGGGACTTATTTTGGCTGCTGGTAACTGGACAGACCCCAAGAGAGGTACAGGTATCTTGGCTCTCGAGAGAGTGGGCAAAGAGGGCAGCTCTACCTTCCCATGTGGTCACCATGCTGGACAACGTTCCCACCAATCTATACCCATGTTTGAGCTCGTGAAGCCATGGCAGCCCTAAACAACTTTCCCTGAGCACATGCAGAGGGTGCCAGCCGAACCAAGTACTGGGAGTTGATTTATGAAGACCATGTATATCTAATCACAAAGCTACCTTGTGTTGCAGCAAAGGTCTACCGAAATCTCTACTGAGAGGGCAGCAGTATTGGGGCCACTGACTCTAAGCTGGACTGGTCCCACAGTTTCACCAACATGTTAGGCTATACTGATGCTCAGTTCACTGAGCTCATGCACCTGTAGCTCACCATCCACAGTGACCATGAGCACAGCAATGTAAGTGCTTATAGCAGCCACTTGGCGGGCAGTGCCCTACCTACCCTGTCCCTACCCTGTCCTTTGCAGCAGCCATGAACGGGCTGGCAGGTCCTCTGCATGGACTGGCAAATCAGGAAGTGCCTGTCTGGCTAACACAACTACAGAAGGAAGTCGGCAAAGATGTGTCAGATGAGAAGTTACAAGACTACTTTCAACTCGAGATGGGTTGTTCCAGGCTATGGCCATGCAGTGCTAAGGAAGACTGAGCCACAGTGTACCTGTCAGCAAGAGTTTGCTCTGAAACACCGCATAATGATCCCATGTTTAAGTTGGTTGCTCAGTTATACAAGATTGTGCCCAATATCCTCTGAGATTAGGGTAAGGCCAAGAATCCTGGGCCCAAAGTAGATGCGCATGGTGGGGTGCTCTCCTGTACTATAGCATGACGGAGATACATTGCTATGCGGTCCTGTTTGGGGCATCACAGGCATTGGGTGTACTGGCACAGCTCATCTGGAGCTGAGCCCGAGACTTCCCTCTAGAAAGACCCAAGTCCGTGAGCACAGGTGGTCTGATGAAGTCTGTGGACTCTATGTCAGGATAAAACTGGATACTGGGGGAAACTGACTATCAGAAAGTGAGGAAACCTTAAAAAATGTATATTGTTGTTTCAGGGGGCCTTTAAAGACTTAAGATTAAATTATATCTGAGGCACTGATAATATGTTTGAGGTTAAAATAATAATTCAGAGTTTAAAAAATGAAAAATGATCCCTTCTTCCCTAACCAGATCCCTTCCCCTGCCTAGTATGAGTTGCCCATCAACTGTAGGATGACCAGAACTAATGCATGTGCTGTGGTTTAGGTGTGGTCCCTCTGTATCTCTAGAGTGAGAATGTGGCTCCTCTTTCTCTGGGTCAAAGCCAGTTGCAGAGAATGTATAGTCACGTTAGAGCTTTTGCTTCTTCTCTGTCAAACCTCAACAAGCCAGCTAACCAAGACTCTGCCCCTTCTGTTTCCATAGGAATCACACTGGATAGTCAGCAGTACCAAGCCCCTTGGCACTCTCTCGTGCACACGAACACCTCCTAGAAAGACCTTTTGGTTAGCCAGACAGGCATGCTTTGGCAAATCTTTAAGATACCAAGTGACCATAAAGGCATGGCATTTGTGGTGACTGGCACCCAACGTTAGATTCTATTTCGATTTTTAAAACTATCCAATTAAAATTAAGGCCTGGGAGTGTTCTATTTCCCATTACTTTAATACTCACCTCCTCCCAGACTTTCCACACCTGTTGTATCTCGAGCTGAGGATGTTCTGGACCTCCTACTCTTGGTCCCTACCAGAAACCTCTCAACAGATCTGTGGTCCCAGTGATTGGGTTTTATCAGTGCTTAATATGAACTAAGGTTTTTCACTTCCACAGAACACAAGCCACTACCCTCTGACTTTCCCTTACCCTTCTAATATGTTGTGGGGCATAGAACAGGGACTCAGGAATGACCAGCATGGTATTTTCTGAGTCTGGTCCCTGGGGTATTAGCACCACTTTTTGAACAGGGAACTGATTCAAGATTGGACGTGATCTCCTCTGATTATCATGTCCTGGGGCTGAGGGCATTAAAAATAGTAAGCCTCCCTCCTCATCCGCTGCCTCGAGAAAATGCCCCCTTATTTATCAACATCCTTTTCCTGTACCTTCCCCAAGAGCTCACAGTACAATGTTTGTTTTAGAGGCCCCATTTGCACAGGTTTTCAGCAACTCGGAATGCTCTGCTGCCTTTGAGGTGGGCTTGAGATACACTCCTGCTGTGCCCCCTTCTTCCCTCCAAACTCCTGCCTTTGTTTGTGTGGATCCCCAATCCCAGAACCATGGTGTTCAGTTGGACACACGTAAATCCCTGGGTAACCATCAAGTCATGAGGCAGACTTCAGGCTGTTCTGTATAAAATGCAAAATAAACATCTTTATTAACAACAGCAAAAAGTTCACAGTTAAGTGGAGGAATCAGACAAGCATATCACTGTTGTCATTGACACCATATGCTGTAGGGAACTGAGGAGTGGCACCTACTGAGCCTAGAGGAATCTGAGGAGCCTTCACGGGGAAGTGCTATTAGAGTCTTGAATAAGGAATAGAGTGTTCATCATTCAGGCAAGGCAGGGGAGGCCTTTGCAAAGAATGTGCAGGGCTGGGAGAGAATGTAAAATAGTCAGCCCTGAGTAGGTTAATATGGTGTATGATAGTGAAAAATAAATCTTGAAAGACAGAGACCTGACTGACCATGCAAAGACCTAATGTGCAGATAAGAAGCCTGGGCTTCATCTGGTAGGTCATAGGAATCTATTTAAGGAAGGTATATGTGTGTGAGTGGAAGGGGCTTCTACAAGAAATACACAAGTAATCTTTGGATAGTGCCTTCGGTTTAGTTTCTGAAGACATAGCCCAAAATGGGGATTGAGTGAGCAAAAAAGGCTGAGTGTAGCTGTGGACACAACAGGACACGTGCTTCCGTCTCACCCCTGGGGAAGCTCTGGAGCACAAATTGCACCACAGGGTTAATACCATCCCAAGGCATGGGGTTGCCCTACCTGGGTCGATTAGTCCTTGGCCCAGGGTTTGGTGAGAAGGGAAAGAGGTAGAGCTTCCTGTGCTAGCACTGGCCGAGAGCAATTCTCAGGAGAAGGGGGCATCCATCAGTACTCACAGCTCCCATCACAGCATGAGTGCAGAAGCAGGTAAAGAGGAACTGAGCAGAGCACCAGCAATGCATCCATTGCAGAGAGCTTTAACTAAACAGCACAAATGTATTCTCGATGAACATTTCTGGCTCTTCCTCTGAAAGTTTGACACTCTGGTACATCTACATCCATCAGATGAGGAGAGTCTTGTGGTGTTGACAACCAACTAATCATCCCACATTGACAGAGTGAGTAGACCCAGAGTGTGCTCTTCTGGGTCATAAGGGAGAATTTTCTATCTACAGGGAGAGCCTTGGGGTTGAGGAAATCATATTTCAGCGTGTAAAAACATTAAGTAACAGTAGAAAAGTTAAAGATGTTCATGAGGCAGCAGTACAGCAGCTCACAAAGAAATAGAAGACAATTGTCACATGAATGGCTGTGTCTTCAGTTGGACTAGAGTCACTCCTTTGCTCTTTTGAAACACTTTCTCTCTGATACTTTCAAGATACTTGAGAAGTGACATCAGTTTCACTGCTATTAGCTTACCTGAAGTGTATACACAACATGGGCATGGAAGCAATGCTGCCTGCCTCTCAATATGATGTGTGCATTCATTCATTCATTCATTCATTCATTCATTCATTCAACAAATACTATGTGATATGCAGTGCCCCAGGTGAGAGAAATATCACAAAGAACAGTGCAATATCCCCGAGATTGGGAAGCTTACATTTTAGATTTGCAGAGGCATACAGGCTATATGTAAGTAATTAAGTAAGAATGAATGTCAGCTTGTGATAGGTATAAGGTGAAAAATAAAGCAGGTGAGCTGGGCATGCGGGTGGGTGGTTCACGCCTGTGATCCCAGTACTTTGGGAGGCTGAGGTGGGAGGATTACCTGAGCTCAGGAGATTGAGACCAACCTGGGCAACATAGTAAGACCCTCCCTCAACAACAACAACAAAAATAGCCAGGCGTGGTGGTTCATGCCTATAGTCCCAGCTACTTGGGAAGCTGAGGTGGGAGGATTGCTTGAGCCCAGGAGTTTGAGACTGCAGTGAGCCATGATCGCACCACTGTACTCCAGCCTGGGTGACAGTGAGACCCTGTCATAAATAAATAAATAAAGCGGATAAAGTGGGTAGAAAGCACCAGAGTGCCAAGGGGTTGATGTTGATTTCTATTTTATTTAGAGTAGTCTGAGAAGGCTTCACTTATAATTTAGCTTGAAGAAAACATGAGAGCAAGTCATGCAATGTTCAAGTAAGAGTGCAGCAGTCAGGAGAAAAAGTTATGCAAGGGCCCTAAGGTTGAAAGTGTTCTTAGTGTGTTTGAGAAACATCAAGGAATGTGCAAAAGGCAGAGTGATAGAAGATGAGATCAGAGAGGTGAGAGGTGGGGAGAGGTGTCACATGTGTCCCTGGAGGCCATTGTAGGGCTTTTGCCTTTTATTCTGAATGAGGTTGGAAGCCTTTGTAGTGTCTTGAGCAGAGATGTGATATGATCTGGTTTATGATTTAAAAGACCCAGTTGGGTGCATTCGGGACTGGCTACAGTTTGAAGGACCTGGTGAGAAATGAAAGTGTGAGGCTCTTTGTTCAAAAATTATCAAGAATTTCAAGATGGCAACAGCACAGCATTAAACCGAACACTGGGTCGTTGTGAGTGAGGGGCCCTGTGTGACTGCACGGGTCATATGCCTATGATGCTGGCCTTGGATGTATTGAGTATAGGCTGCCAGGAGTGAAGGGCAGAGGCAGTGAGACCTGTAAAAAGTCAGTGCAAACATCCTGTGGTGGGTGAAAGTATAGACATGGCAGTGGAAGTGGTGAGGAGGAGGCACGCACTGTTGTTGTTTTTATATATATTTTTTGAAGGTAGAGCTGATGGCGTTTGCTAATGGATTGGTTGGAATTTATTGAGACAGAAAAGAGGAGGAGCAGATCTTTAATGTAAAGCAGAAGTTCATAGTTGGACTTTAATAAATGTGAAGTCATTTGAAAGCAAGGGGAAGATGGCATTTAAGCAGTTGGATGTATGATTCTGGAATTGAGGAAAGAGATCCAGATTGCAGATCCAAATTTGGGAGTCTTATCTCCATAAAGAAAGCATTTAAGATCACAAAAACAGATAAGATGGGACAGATAGAAAAAAAATGGGGAAAGAGGAAAGATAAGGAACAGATATATAAAGGAGAAGAGCAAAGGTAGGTTATAAGACACTCTACTTAGAGATCGGAGACATTGGGAGGAACAAACAAAAGAGAACTAGAACTGTGAATGAGGAGAGATGATCCAGAGGCCACATGAGAAAAATGTGTCCAGAAGAAAGTGTTAATCATGTCATGTGACCCAGTAGCTGAAGACTGAGGATCAACCATTGAATTTAGCTTCATAAAGGCTGTTTGTGTTCCTGGTAGGAACTGCTTTGGTTTAACAGTGAAAATAAAAACTTCTGTAAAGTGCAAACAATTTAGAATGAAGGGAGAGGTAATGAAAGATAGCAAACACATACAACTCTCAAAGAGTTTTGAAAAAAGGAAAACAGAGGAATGAGTGGTGACTGGAGGGAAATATGGGGTTATGTGATCGTTTTTTGTTTTGTTTTTAAATTGTGAGAAATAAAAATGTTTTATTCCCTCTAAAAATTATTTAGAGGGAATTATATAGTAGAGAAGGAAAATTTGATGATGGAGAAACAAAAGGGACAATTGCTAGAGCGATGTCCTGAATAATAAAGAAAGAATGGCGTACAGGGCCCAAGGGAAGTAGGTGGCTTTGCACAGAAACAAAGACAGTTCATTTATATTAATGGAGTTGCGGGGAGAGAGCAGGGTTATGGGTCCAGATGCAGGAAGTGGGTAGATGTTATGTTGGGAGGGTATAGGAATTCTATTCGGATTAATTCTCATTTCTTCA